CTACATAAAAGGATGATGATCAAAATTTTGAATAACTAAATTATTTTTAAACAAATACTCCGAATAACATTAAAATATGAACTACAATTTTTGTGCACATACAAATATGCAACACCGAGATCTTATCAATAGAACCACTTCGAAATAATAATACATGTCAATCCAACGTGAAGAAATTATAGATGTAGAATGTTTTGCAGTAAATCACAACTATTTTCGTCTTAAAACTTTACAATACCTAAGAAATCCTCAACGTATGTTTATTAACAGTCGGCATCGACGGTAAATAGCTTAGTAGTTAATAAATTCATGTTTGTTTTCATTAGAATCAGATATTTTGAGTTCAAAACAACATTCCTAGACTAAAGAAATTGTTGCTTAGAAACTTCCAGAAACCTAGGGATTCGATGCAACTATATAACATTGAAGAAAAGTACGAATCATGCTATTATTGTTCTATTTATTGGGGAATCAAGTTTCATAGTCAGTTGCAACGTAGAACCTGGTACGTATGTACATCGATTCAAGATACCATAACCTATTGGCAAAGACAGACGAAATTTCATAGTGGTTAGAGTATAGAATTCAGCATAACAAGTGTTTTCTTCTTAAAAGTAGAATTCCTATGTTTGAAAATAGAGTGATTGAATGTGCATTAATCACCTACTTGTAGGAACGCATACATAATGTGCAACAATTGAGCAAACCATCCTATGGTCGGCTATATAAGTTTAAGCAAGACAATAAAATTTGTTGACAAACTAATGAATAAGTGCACATTAAGATTAATACAGCATAAGTAAAAAACAGTTACGTATACCCTAGGTATATATGATATACGTGAAACAAAAGAAGCATCATTATGGAAGGGGAACAATTATATATCAGTATGAAATAAATAAACAAATGGGTGGATGAACACGTTATATTGATAGACTGTGGAGAAAAGGTAAAAAAAAACATCGAAATAAAGAAGGGAAAGAGGAAACTAAGAAACTGGAGTTAAAGTGTTGAGATTATTACAAAATTAATTATTTTTTCTGAAAAACTATATATATAAGCTCCAAGGCTTAGATAATAGAAAACTTGAGTCAAGAACAGGAAGTCGAAAAAAAGTATGAAATAAATTTAAAACTTGGGATTCAACGAAATACAAAGAGTGAATCTATATATTATTATTATTATCGATTCTGCAGCACTTCAACCGACGTCTCTAATTATCAACACAAACTGACATTAAAAGGAGAACTATCGAACATTTTAATTTTTTTCTTAAATGACTAAAGGGTTCAAACACTAACATACAAGTAGACTGAGAGTTATCAAGTCTCATGGTGATTGTAATAAATAGAAATCATCCTATATTACAAATTGAATGATAACGAAAGTGTTATGTTCATCCCAAGTAACATGTGGCTGGTTAATAACGGTAGGTTGACATATATGGTATATCACATATCTATGCTGTGATATATTCTTTTATCCTTTGTAATTTTGTCATAATAAAACTCTTGTTCTAGTCTGTATCTGGTTCTTGGACGAACAGTCGGATTATCGAGTGAGAATGTATCACGTGGTTAGGAGAAGTCAATATTACGGAATAAAGTATAGATCATTTTCTTACTCGGTGGCTTGATGGTACATTTATTATTTTTTTTATTTATTTTAACACATAGATATTGGTACAAGGAGGCACCAAATACATATGCGCCACACGAATCTCATATGATATGTGTGAGGGCTGTGATACTCCCCGGGTGCCCAGACCAAAGCAGGTGGTTTTCTTAGGGGGTCACACCCCGAGCCTTCGACCTGAAGGTCTGATCCACAAGGCAGTGGAGCATCGTAAGGAGATGCAGTCCAATGGTTTTCCAACTCTCCTAGGTGGACTCAACATGTCCACCGGCCCGGTTAAAGCTCCGGACATTCGCTTTTCGTCCTTTCAATTTCGTAAACAAGACCCCCGCCACGAGAAGGCAGTGAGTAGGACTTCCCTGGCAGAGGCTATATACACGTGGCCATGTGAGAGCATTTCGAGAGGGAGAGCGAACTCTTCCCACTCTCGGTCGTACCAGGGGATTTGGGGGCCTAGTTGAAAAATAAAAGCCTGGAGATCTTGCACTTATTCAGAAGTACGCGCATTGTTGAGATGCCTTCACTAGAATGAAATATAACTTCCTAATACCGTTTTGTTTCCAAAGGTTCGTCACGAAAATTACCTTAACCATATGTCACGATACATACATCTTCTTTGCGTGCTTATACATTATTGTTTTAGGCGATTGGGTTTTATTCATTGTCTTAAAATAGATATAGTTTATAACGCCAATGAAAAATTTGAACAAAGTTATCGAGTTGTATTGTTTAACATTTATTCAATCGGATTTGAAGATATACTTCATAAAGAATAGTCATTGAATGACTACTCGTCTCTATATTTTGGGTTCAAATCGACCGAAAATCAAAGATGTTAGGAGTGTAATAACTTAAATGATCACATATGTAGTTATTGTTTTGTTTGTGTTTTTTTTTGCTTAATACTTACTAATTTTTAGGAGGATGAAGAAGATAATGCAGTTCAGTCGAAGTATTTTGGAAGTGTTTTATTCTCTAAACTATTCATTACCTTAATACACAATATATCATATGGACATATTTTAAAAAATTTAGTAATTTGTTACACTCATCATTTATTACAAGTATAAATTATAGGATATAAATTCAAGTCGATAAGTAAATGCGGGCTTTGTAAAACAAATTACATAAGGACAAACTGTATAATATTAAAAAAAAGAGTGCAATTTGAACACGAATAGAATCACGACTGATTAGAAGTAGAGTGTGAATAAATAAGTAAATTGATCGGCAGCTTTACAAAACAGTTTTGTTTTAATCGATTAAGTATTTAGTTTGTTTTTGTGTTTTTTTTCTTCTATAAAATAAAAAAAAAGTATAAGAATTGATTTAGAGAGCCTAGTGACGAATGAAGAAATCAATTTATTACAATGTTGACCAGAGATTATTTGTGTTCATGGTGTTAAGGATACTAGATATTCTAGTCAATTAATTAGTCTTTGTAAAAAGAAATATGCATTTTCTCAGTTTGTTATACTTTTTATCATTGTTCGTCTAACTGATACTACTAATAAAAGTTAAATTTAATCTGAGTTAAAGAAATATTCAAATTAGTAACCTCTAGATGATATAGATAAGTAAATTAAGCGAATAATTTTGCCCTAAAAATGTTTACCAGTTAAAAACAGGGAATATACTAAGCGATTCACTAAGCAGATTCGCTTATGATTAATAAAGTATTTAAGAAGATATATCATAAGGTTGAATGAATTACAAACTCAAATGAAACATTAAATAAACACTGTGATGAACTTAAAAGAGAAACTTGTGTGTATCAGAAATTATGTCAGTATTATATGCTTAAAAAATGACTATAATATATTCATATACATGTTTGTAGGCACGTATAACTGACTGCATAATTGTTTGGATTACTAATGGTATCAGTAGTTTCTAATACAAGTTCTATTACAGACATAGTTCACACTCTAAATGTGTATATAATAACTGTCAAGGTTAAATTTAAGAGATTATTGCCCTCAGATAATCAAGATCTGTAGAGATGCTGTTTTTTTACAACAGTAGGGGATTAGGAAACATCGGACCAAGAAACGCTATATCTTGCCTTGCCCCATCGATTTTTTTGCCAGTTATAAGGCCTTATAATACCGATCTATAATATCTAAAATTACTTACAAAAATTCCATGTACCCAGCCTTAAGCAGTTGTACTCTAAACATTTTGGTCAAGCTCCACGGTAGCCAAGACCATTTCAAATCCATTTCCTTTTTAAGCTCCTCAAGAAGAAACAGAATTTTCTAATAGTTTTTGACAGCTAACAATTTATAATTACCCTCATATATCTTTAACAGCCATCGATATAATTTTATTCACATACGTTGGCAACAAGAAAAAATGGGAGTCAATTCACACACTAAATGCGAGTGCTAATGAGACTGTCCGGTTGCCCATGAAAGAGTGGATACTGTGGTTCAAACCTGTGAATTAATGGCTTAAAGTTAAGTGCTCTAACAACTGCTGAGCTGTTGATCCACTTTCAATAAAGTATCCATTCTACTCCGATCTCATGATTCGGTTATTAACTACATTTAAAAGCGAGCAATCCAGCGTTTGGGTCAGATCAATAGATATCCAGCATTCATGACCACTCAGTTTATAACATGTCCTTTAGCTCATTTCATAGACCAATCATAATAGTCAGTATAAAGTTGTGGAGATTGTCGGGTTTCATTGAAATGATGAATTGATCAATTTTAGACAACCATCGTCCTAGTATGGGACCCCTCAGAGGTGCCCATCTACAACTTTGAGTCCAAAAACTGAACCTAGGGTCTTTGGTCTCACGCGCAAATACCTAACCTCTAGACCACTGAGCTAAAATCCAATGGTTTTAATATCTAACTACAATCAATCCACGATATTCATAACGGATTGGTTAATTTCACCACTACCGAAGTCATTGTTTTTTTCACATATATACAATCGATTTTCTAAACACAAAAGTTTATTAAGTTTTTTTTATTAGTGATTACTAAACTTTTTCTTAGTTTTCAAGTTTTCGTTTTGTACCATCATCACCAATCATGACAACACAGGTTTATCACGAGTTTGCTTGATAACTACTTATACTTGTTGACCGAAATATAGATAATAGAGAATGTGTCCATAATAAAATAAATTCTACAGTGCGATACCACAACTAAGTAATTATTATATAACTGGAACATTTGAGAGATTAAAGCAAACAAATACACTGTGGATAATAGTTAGAATGACCGTTTCGTATGTGATTATATGAAAGAGAGAAAAAAACATTGATATGAACCACAGGATAAATAAAAAAAGGAAAAACAGACCATTTGAAAACAGTGAGAGAAAAAAATAACAATGACAAGTCCACTTACCTTAACTATCATTTGAATTTCCATATCATTGAATAATCGTCCACCTGAATTCATGGAATCGCCAATAGGATGTTTTTGACTATTGTGAATACTATTATTAGTATGATTTGGTTCACAATCAATATGATGACTTAGTAATGTATCTCTAGATGAATAATTCAATTGATTATGATCATTATTCATACAATATTGATGCGGATGTTGATGAGGATGATTCGACAGGTTCATATTCTGATTTGACTGTATAGGAGTAAGTAGATTTTGATGAGAGTTAACTGTACTACCACTTGGTATCGTAGAAAATTTTGAAGGAATTATACCTAAAGAAGTGTTATTATTATTATTACTGCTATGCCCATGTTGAACAGATGAATGCAATTGAAGTGGAAGAGATGATTGTGAATGTGTCGGAGGAGGCATAGGCGGTGGTGGTAACGGTGGAAATGGAGGTGGTTGTAAAGGAGGAGCAACTGAAACGCCAGGAATTTTAGATAATGATTTTTGTGTAGAAGGATTAGATGAATGATTATTTGGTTGTTTAGAATAATAATCCATATTTTGATTGACAGAATTCAAATTACAACCAGGATTACAGTCTAAAATATCATGATTAGAAGCGAGATCTGATGTATCTTGAAAACAATAAAAAAAACAAATAAACACGTATATATATAAAAAATAAAGTTATAAAGAGAGTTTCGTCTTGCATATGATTAATAAACAAGAAGAAATACCAAACAGAATGTTATAACTGTGATCCAGCGTTTTCTAACTAAAAATTTGATACCTATGGAAGAGAGAACAGAAGTTAGCTCTCTTTTTCACCATCTTGTTCTTTGAATCTCTCGTTAAAGTGATTTTTTTTAAATCAATTTGCCAGGCTTACAAATTCGTGTAATTTGTTTTGAGTCGCATTTTATGTCCGAGTTAGTTATAATACCTGGCTCTTTGAACTAAAGTAGGTTGAGAAGGAGTTGAACCTATGATTTTGTGGCTGAGAAACGGAGGTATGAATCACTGAGCTACCGCTCGCAAATAGTTTACTAATGTGAAAAAGCATGTAACAAACCAATAAACCATCTGACATTACACAATATGGAGATAAGCTATAACTCAAGTGGAATATTAATTGCTCTGCTAGGTCAAAATTTTACAAACTATGGAAATCTCGAATTGAAATTGATACATTATTGCAATACATTTACCATGTACAGTTTCATTTAGTCACAAGGAGAGAAGCAGTGATTCTACTCGGCCTCCTGGGATTCCAACATGTAATTTATTGATTGGAAGTCAAATAGAGTTCCTAAACTGTTAAGCTACTGTTGGGGAACTTTTTCATTACCTTTCTTGTTAGAAATATAAATCAGATAGTTAATTTTGAATTATTTAAAATTAGCAAACATAATGAAATTCAATCATAAAGAATAGAACTTAACATGTAGTGATAGTTATCACAGATTAAAATATACAGTTTAGAAGAAAGAGAAACGACAGTCAATGATTAAAGTGTAATCAGTCAGTCAGTAACAACGTAGAACTTCGTACGTACGTACATCAGTTCGAGTTGCCACACCACATTAGCACACAAATACAATTGTCGATTCAAATCCCGGAGTGTAATCAGAAAAATTAGGGTTTGGAGATGTTATTCAAGGAGCATAATACAGTGAAATAAATTTGGAAAGAGAAAAAAGGGACATGAAGAATTCAGAAGATTAGAATTTGGGAGAACACAAAGAGTGGATGCACCTGCGCCATTGCAAATGATTTTGAGCCATGTCATTCAGGGTCTCTAACCATCGGTTGCTATCATTTCACGGTCCCCAACCAGGTAGTCTTCACCTACCGACATCACTCAGACCACTTGTCAATGACTTCATAGACTTGTGCCATGTTTTGGTCTGGCCGCATCTAGCTTTGTTCCAACCTACTCCTATACCACTGAACATCACACGTCGAGGCAGTCGGTCGTTGGGTATACGTAACACGTGTCCCAGCCATCTCAACTGATGAAGTTTCATCACTTCATCAATCGATCTGCCATCCTTACCTAGTACCCGTTTCCTAACAACTACATTACTTAATCGATGGTCACAGGATATACGAGCAATGCTTCGAAGACACCTATGATTGTATACTAGTAGCCTACGAATATCCTCTACTCTTACCGGTCACGTTTCGCTGCCATAAAGTAGGACGGAACGAACTGCTGCACAGTAAACACGTCCTTTGGTTGATAGACGGATATCTCGCCTACGCCATAAATGACGCAAGTTGACGAAAGCTAGTCTAGCCTTCTGTATCCGTACTGAGATTTCGTCACATACCAGACCACAAGGGCTGATGAGACTTCCAAGATAAGTGAAGCGATCGACACGCTCAATTACTTCACTCCCTATCATTAGTTCGGGTGTCGATGCAACCCGATCCAGAAGCAACATTTTGCATTTCAAGCGGGAGAATCGCATTCCGAACATGCTTGATTAAAGTGTAATAGATGAAATTGTATTACACTATTAACATTGTATCATTATAATTTTGTGCTTTTCCTGTTTTCTTTGTTATTTTCAGTTATAACATGATCGTTTATTCGTAGTTCGTTAGCATACTGCTGGTATTGTAATCTTTTTTGTTCCTTATCTTAAAATTCCTTCAATATTTTAATGGTATGTTGTATATGGAAACGACAAAACACGATGTTCCAAGTTATCTTTATTTATCTACATATTTATGAACTAAACAATGAGAATATTAGAAAAAAGTAAGCTGTATTTAACTCATCGTTAGTAAGATGTAACCTGGGAAGATATATATCGTGAAGAGATTTCAGACAGTTGATAATAAATTGTTTAATCATTTATTATGCATGATGGAATTATCGACTGAATTAAGTGTAGAAACTTTGGAATGGCGGATAATTTATTCGAGAAAATAATAAATCAAATGAAGTGTGTTGTGTATACGTTAAATGATACATTTCAATCGATCAGTCTTAAGTCAAAAAATGATAATATTAATTCAAATAGACGCAAACAACAAAGATATCTCAGTGAAAATACTAAAAATTTATATCGAATTAACAAAACGGTCTTCTTTTAGGATCTTCTATATTCTAGTCCTAATTAGCTGGAAATAGACCAGTCAATGTGTTCCTAGTTGAACCTGACCGGAGAGTATGAACTAGTCAAGACTGTATTCTGCTAACAAAATAAGTAGCTCATGTCCTGTTGACGTCCAACCAATATCTATTACTCTATATGAAGGTAATTTTCGTCACAAAATAAAATCAGTCATAAATTCATCGGGAAATATGAAAACTTGAGCCTACTAATTCATCTTGTTTAGTTCGACTCTGGTGCAACAATGGGCGTGTACTATCCTAAATGAAATTAAAACAAGAACATGAATATCAGTAAACCAGTATCTTCGTATTTTCGACTTCCGATGATTTTTTATTACAGCAAGATTCTTTCATTCACTATCATCGAAAAATGACTACCAGCTTATTGGCTAATTCGTTGAGTGCAGTGTACAGAATTATAATGTACTTACACATGAGGAAGAAAATAATAACCGATTGCCCTTTTTAGACATACTTTTGAATCGAAAGGAGAATGGAACTATGAAGTGGTTAGTTTATAGGAAGCCAACCTAAACTAGTCAATATTTAAGTCTTTATAGTTTCTGTCTATTGTAACACAAGCGAGTCTTGGTAAAGTGCTCCTTCAATAGGACTCAAAGAATATCCACTACAGATAAGTTGAAAGAAGATACGAAACTGCTGGCTAAAACGTTAATATCAAGCGGTTGTCCACTAAAGTTTATAAATAGGTAAAAAAAAAGTCAGTCAACACTAAAACCTCTTTTTGGACCTGCTGAGGAAAAACGTTTTTATATATCATCATCGTTTAGTGGAGCATTGGATAGAATAGACTAAAAGCAGCAATCGAGAAAACATATTACGCTGTTCAACTGGTTGTGATTGAAAGGACTAAGCCCATGATTTCAAATTGACTTAGACATTATATCAAATACCACCGCATTTACTTATTCACATGTTTGTGTGAACACACACAGATAGAGAGGAGTAATTGAACAATACAATCAAAGGTTATGTTGGATGCGCCTAGATGGTTTCAGAACCAAATCCTTCAATAAACGTGACAAGTAGAAAACCATGTTCATCGATAGTAGAGCACATAATTGAAACGGAGCATAGAATTGACATAAATACAGTTTTGAAAACATTGTATTAGAATTGTCAAGGACGAATACGTAGTTTTATAAAAGCCTTAATTATTCATAAATTCAAACCCCCTTTATGTGTACAGAAACAAATCAGAGTAACCTCGGAGTCCCCTGGTAATTTCTAAGACATTTTATTATCTAGGGTAATGAGATAAATTCTTATTCAATAAATAAGAAAGATTGTTTCAACGAGAAGTTCTTTTTCTGTAAATTCATTTTCAAAGCTGTACACTCACAAATATATGCCTATTTTTCAAAATGACAATAGTGATGATAAAATTCTGCTAAACATGGTAACAGTAAAGGAGAATAAACAAATGTATAAAAACATTCTTCTTATCAAGGAAACTAATGATAATTTTGTTAAGAGCTTGAATATTCGTTATGAAATTAGATAAAGGATTATAATTGGGAAGGAAGACTCAGTATGAAAAGTGTTAAGACTGAAATCAACTAAAATCCGGAGGATCAGCGAAACGGACACAAATCAATTGGAAGGCAAAAGGTCTATAGAGAAGACAGAAGGGAAGCAGATGGCTGTGAAAGAAGCAAAGTATGAAGAAGAAAGAAAAGATTACGAAAGTAAAACCACGGTAGAAGTTGTATACGTTTCTCTTGAACACATAATTCTGGTTTTTCGCAGACTTATAGCCATTGCTTCGGGGATGTTAAGAAGATGAGACATAACTGCCTTTGGAAGCCCTCTACTAACCTTATAGGTGATTTTGAGCACAGAATCTGTTTTGATTGAATGACCTGTGTTCACAAGGTTTTCGATTGTAGAGCTTCGTATTGAGCTCTTCTCATCTGTTATCAGCAAAGTTAAATAATGTTTTCGAATTCGTCGGGATAAAATATGCATTAAATGACCTATATGCCTGGCTCCACATGAACAGATAAATTAATAAACGCGCATAGATTTGGCCAAATGAGATAATTTATCCTTAAGATTATTGGTGAACATTCGTCGACTGGAGAACACTATTCGCAAAGTTATTGAGAAGAACGTTGGATTGAAAGATTAGGAAATTCTTCTCATCAGGACATCCGTAGATATATCACCTTTGAAATCAATGTTCATGTTAAGTTCGCTACTCGATTAACGCAGAATACAGTATACAACTACGGCACTCGAATGTATATAACCCCAACAGTCACAATCATCAGTATTTATAGATATTAGCGTTTGTTATATCAACTTTATAATACAGCAAATCCGCAAAGAGGCATGTTATGCTGCTGTTCAATAGTAGCATGCCACGATGATATTCTAGAAAGCTCCACCACATTCTGACTGGATGGAAACTATTCGGTTCCTTTAGAACCTCTGGAGGCTCCGTCGTAGTTTTCGGAAGCCATCCTAACAGTTCATAGGAAAAGTTTTATTTTCTATGGAGGTTATTTATGCTTTAGGCGGTTTGAGTTGTATATTCTTATCAACAAATATCGATAGATACACGTTTGTGATAAGTATTTTCTTAAGGAGGCTCGGTCCGTTATCCATGATGTCGAGACTACAAATTCTTCATATCCGTGTGGCGAGGGATATACTTAAGTTTCTTTTCCGACTAATAAGGACCCAGCTGTGAAAAACTGACAGCTGGCCATTTGACAAACATTTCCTGTAGATGAATCTTCTTACAGTTACGTCGTGTTTCGTTGTTATTTTGACATCAAGAAGGTAAATACGTTGTTTGTTTTCAACTTATTGTGTGAAATTTATTGCCAAGTGGCAGTTTTTAAATGTCTGCAGAAAACGATTCAAACCATATTTATTGTCACGAATGGTAAAAACATCAGCCACATACCTTTTATACAAGTGGAATTTGTCGTCGTGGTAATTCCTTTAAACAAAATTCCGGTAGTTCGATATTAAACTCATTATCACTTATGTATTCGCAGATGAAACTGATGGTCTTTGTGAGTGGAACATTAGTGAATGGTGATTCGACACTAAGTGAAAGGATAAGTTTGTCATGTACATCCACTTCTTTTATGTAATCAATGAATTTAAAAATATCATGAAAGGAATCTATACAAATACGTTTTCCTGTGGGTTCCAGACCAGGCAGTCACTTTACTATAGAGTGGTAAAGGGATCCGGACATATCAAGAATTGGTCGGACAGGTTGGCTAGATTTGTGTATTTTAGGTAAACCATATGGTTCTATTCTTTCTATTCTTTCCATATTATATTAGTTCCCTCTCTCTTTTATCTACAATTGTTACTTTATGTTCATTTAAACTTCCATTTAATTGATCTTTATCAATTTTCATATAAAATGCCTTGACTAGTATATGTGTGACCAGATTGTTCGAAACGTATAATGCAAGTACATCACATTTTCCAGACCAACTCCGTTTTCTCATTTTTTTTCGATATTCACTGAGTTGATCTAGTTTGACATGTGTATCATTCATTCACTTCACTGTATAAAAATTTTTATAAGTTATATTATAACTCTAATGATAAATAATCTACTGAGATCAATTTGCAATGAAATAATAATTAAGTATGACCAATCACTACCTACTTTGAGGCGTTCAATCAAACTTACCTGGAATTTCAGATATGATTGAATCTTCTACTTCAGCATAAGATTCATGTGGATTAGTAACCGGGATTATTTTATTATGTGATACTTGTATCCAGGATGGTAAATCAGGTGGGATACTATTTATCCAACGTTGAACATGCAACATACGTTCCTGACAAAAAACAATGATCATAATAGTAAAGAGAAGGAATATTCACATGACTCTCAAGTTTATTTAATTTATACAACTTAGTAATCTTGATGCTTTATAAAAAAACGTGGCAAATCAACAAAATAGGATGTTTTGTTTTTATTGAACAGAATTCTAAAACATGCAATCATTTGATCTAGAATAGTGTTTTGCCTATGAATTTATTAATCTAACTTCTATACTACTACTGTAGTGAACGAAGAAGTCAAGTGGGGAAAACCAATTTACTGTTTAATGCACGATCACGCAGTGGTTTAGTACAATGTGCAAATCAAACATCGACTACATAATTTGAACATCTTACAAGCATTAATGTTTCTTGATTCCTGTTTTTATCTTGATTGCTTTCAGTTTCCTTCTCTCTTCACGTCATTTCAATCTTCTCAACCTTCTGCTCTCAGACAATCCACTTCCGACTGGTGTTACATACTACATATATCTGCAAACGTGAGTAGCATACATCGCACTAGTGCTGCTGCTGATGACAGCTTAACAGAAAACTCTGACGGTGTTTAAACTAAAACAAATGACTACATCTTTATTTTTTATTTACTGTAAAGAATTGCATCTCAACTTAAATAACCAGCACAGTGTCATTGTAAATATCTTATATATCTGCATATAGTCATTTTTACAATCTTTTTATCATGAATATAAAATAGTAGGGATTTACTACAGATATAAGCGTCTTTCCGGGGCATAATAGAGAGCAGTAAATATGATACTTTCATTAGATGTTGTGCATAAGTACAATGCTGACGGTATGAGAGAATTTCGTGACGCGCTTTAAAACAACATCCACCCTTTGACACATAACGAATACATTACGATAAGTTACCAAAAATAACACTAGACAAAAAGTATTTACTTGGTTATAATGTATCAGATTAAAATATCAAGCACATATAATTATTCATTAACTCAATGCAAAAACAAACAAATATAATCAAAGTACTTGGTTGAATGTACTCAATTCACTAGTCTTACAAAATTGAAATAATATTAATCATTTGCACCTACTATTTGATATTGAAAATTTATGAGTCCTGCATAATGTGCTGATATGAAAAAAAACAGACACACAAAATCGTGTTTTTTTATATTTAACTTTACGAACTGATCTCTAGAAACACCTAATATAATACTAATGATCATATGCTCATGAGTGACTTATTTCGAGAGGTGATTTAATGAGTTCAAATGACAATCCGTGACCAATGAAGTACGATTATGTCGTGTCAGGCAGTTGTCCACTACAGGCAATAGAAGATGACTGCACAATATCGCGAATTGATTGGAGGTAAACATCTAAACAACCGAATGCTGACTCATTGGTCTAAAGATTAAGTTCTCACAGCAAAAATTGAAAGTCTTAAGTTCAACACCTGGTGGAGTTGAAACCTCATAAAATTGAGGATTTTCATGTTGGGAGCAAACACATGTCCAGTGTTTTCTAGCTTTTAATAGTAGTTTAACCAACATCATTCCATGATGTTGACTATGACTCCTTATATAGTATAACTGTTTATGATTTCACAAGTTAAAACACTAATTATGTGAAATATGACCGCCAAAACATAAGTATCATCAAAATCAATTTGTTTCCTGTTTCGGTTAACAAAATAGTGAAAATGATCAAGTATCACTAACAGAATTGTTGATGAAAACGAAATATTTTGATTTGCCGACTAACAGAAAAACACAAAAAATCTGATGTACAGTGAGAAAGTCCCCTCCTTTCCCAAAACTCTGTACACTGGTAAATAAAAATAATATAGTGATATAACAACACTAAAAATAACATTTTAATATCATTGCTTAATGTCACAGCAAAGAATTGAATTTCTTTTTTAGACGAGAATTTCGTAATATTGATAGGGGCTGTTAAAAAAACCACGTTTGTGTTAAAATATCATATTCTTTTACTTTTGGGTTGCTCAATTAAACTTATTGCGCGATTTCTAGACAATCTTTTAGTAGGATTAAATCACTCGACTTGGTAAGATAATCTAGTAACCAAGCTATATATATATATATATATATATATATATATATATATATATATATATATATATATATATATATTCGCTTTTCGTCCTCTCATTTTCGTAGACAACACCCCCGCCACGAGAAGGCAGTGAGTAGGACTTCCCTGGCAGAGGCTATATACGCGTGGCCATGCTAGAGCATTTCAAGAGGGAGAGCGGACTCTCCCCACTCTCGGCCGTACAAGGGTATTTGGGGGCTGACGAATGTATCTGCACAAAAATACACCTGCATCCATTGAAAAACTTAACTAGTTGAAATAAGGTCAGTTGAAAAAAAGAACCGATAAAGTTACCAATTATTAATCTTATACTTAGCAGAGAACCTGCTAACAACAAATATAAAGTACAAAAAACAATAAATGACGATTTTTCAAGGAATATCGAGACATAAAAAAATTATCAGTGTAAGACTTCGTAATAATGCACAAATTACCACACTTCAATAGACAAACCAAGAAGAAGAAAGGTGAAGGATTGTTCACTTAACCGTTGCACTATACAAAGAATAATGATTTACAGATATCTAAAACAAGTAAGTGTCATTTATCTCCAGTTACCATGTTTTACAACCGCTGAATATTATAGGACGAAAAACTAGGCTATCTATTTGTCTAAAGATATGCAGCTTCAGTCACTTATAACAAGAAAACTAGACAGATCCTGTGTATATGTGCCGAGATTTCGTCAGTCACTAACCTATCTAAGTGAATAAGTCTTTCTACATGAGTGTATTGGTTAATACATTAAACTACATTATTTTATATAATCACATAAGATGAAAAAAAGTTTGGTATAAATAAACACAGGATTTAGAAAGTGTGAAACACATTCTAAACAATTTCATATTATTATTCAATATGTTCAGAGAAGAATGTGAATTTTACTACCAGTTCCACCCACTAGAAATATACTGTCTAAGTAATATTTAGGCTCACAACAGAACCTTTAAGACATCATATCAGGTTATTATGCTATGAGAGAAATTATTAGAATCATGAAATAAAAATTCGTTTGCGTATTTAAGTTAAAAGTTAATCGATTAGCTGAATATTTATTCTTTGAAAAGCAATAGGATAATTATTATTATTGTATCCCTATTTAGGTTTAATCTCCTCCTAACCCCACCAACACATCAGGTAATAGACTAGATATGAATAATTAAATCTTAATGATGGTTATTATTAATATTTGACCATTTAATTAACTTCGTGATTATGTTCAGTATAGAAAGAAAAGATGGAGGGAATTTAAGTAATTCAGCATTGATCAGTATAAATAATAAATTTATTATCTATCCGAAAGAAGGAAGGCGGAAATAGACAATGTTTGTTTGCTTGAAGAATAAATGAGAACGATCAACAAATACAAATGTGAATATATCCATTGGCAATAGTTGTAGATGACTACACCCTTTACTCTGTTTTAACTCTGACATAGATTATAATTAATTTTATAGCGAGGATACATAAATAAATAGTTATATATATAATCGATTGATGCGGCATGCTGTGAGAAAATGCGAGAAATAAGAGCCTTTTGCTTGGTGAATAGAAACAATATTATCAGTAACGTCATTAATACTACCAAAGATAATAATGATAGTAGTAATAGTATTAGTCATAAAGCGTTCATTCATGACCAGTGCTGATAGTAACTAAAAAGAACAACTACAAATCAATGTCAACCAGCATAATGTCTAATTCTATGGTGATTTGAGTGGCTTACATATAAATATATGTTATCATGTAACAGACAATATATATATATATATATATATATATATATATATATATATATATATATATATATATATATATATATATATATATATATATATATATATATATATATAAGGTAAGGTGGTGACCATGATTGAAAAGTAACAGAACTTAAACAGTAAATAACTAAGTAAATTTATAGAAAACCTGTTGAGTTCTGCATATATTGGTGTCAAAATATGAGATATAAACTAAGAGGTACTCTTGATGAATAAGGTTAATGTTATTGTTAACTGTGTAATAATTTAAGAATGTCCAAGTGAAACGATTAGAAGTGTTAAAATAGAGAGAGATTTCTTAGTTGTGTCGAATGACTATTTGCTTAAGACCTGTAGAAAAATGGTTACGTTAGCTTAGCAGCAAATGGACTCATTCACCTTTATCACTGGATCATAGATTCAAACACTGTCTCATATATTTTCGATTGTACAGCTAGATAATATTAAATTATAGTAGTACACGAGTCTGCATTTGGTATATGTATTAGATTACATTGTAGACAGGTAGAGTTTGACTTGTAAGAGTGTTAAAGACAAAATGAACAGGGAATTAGAAACCTTGAACATAAAACTGATTACAACTTAAAATTTGCGCGTATTCACTTGCTAATTTAATAAACATTTAATTAATGATTATTCAGTCCATTTCCTATCTAAGTCAACAGATGATAGCTAGATAGCTTTATGCTGTAGTTGGTTCAGTTAACCATATTGGTAATTTAATTAACATCCATTAATTATTCGAGAGCAACCATGCGATATAGCCTTGACAATCCTATCCTGATATTCTAGAGTTGGAAAGATTTGAAAGAGCATTAACCTGAATTCATAAAATTTTAAAACTAATGGTAGAGACCTTTATAAACAATAATATCAAATCTCTGTTACTAAAAAGCTGACACATAACTCATTGGTTTGTGTAGTATTTACCCAACACAATTTAATTTTATTTGCTTTCAAAGTACATTAAGAAACCAAAGAATTTTGAGATGCGTAATACAACTGAAGAACTGGATTCCATATCATTTCAAACGAGAGACAATTTGGAATTATTTGATGGTAAAAAACACATCGGAAGAGTATGCCCATATAAAGAATCATAGATTGTCGTATTCACAAAAAGAGAAACAAAACTAAGCATTAAAAAAAATAATTCAAAAAGAAAACTAACCGATTCTCTCAAGCTAGGAGGCAGTGACGGTAGTGAAGAATGGATTTCAGCAGCTGTTGTACGTCCAATAGTGCAATTAGGAAGCTTTTCTTTGCTGTGTCCATTTTGTGGACTAGACAAAAAACGTCTTCCACTGCTATTGTTATTATTATTATTATTATTATTTTGTATATTCTCAACAAGTCTTGATTCACCATAAGTTCCATTTGGAAACTATGTACAAAAAAGGAGGAGAACTTTAGTGCTGATAAAAATAACTTGAAATCAAATAATAACAATTCCAATCATTATCAATACTGTGCAATAATCTTACTGAGTTTTGAAAACATGGATAATGTGTGTATACATTATTCATGGTTCATACAAATTAATGTGTTTAGCTTTGAGTCGAACTTTTGTGTGTAAGAGATAGAGATAGAGAGAGAAGACGGTTACCAGGATTACCCAGCAACCCAAAGTGAAGTAAGTCGAGAAAGAATTAGAACCTGTTGGCCGTAATGGTCGAAATTCAATGCCAATAACTACTAAGTCATTGTTTAGTTTGTTTAAGAAACGAAATAATGAAAACGATATTCAACAATGGACAAATCAATACTTAAAAATGGCTTAATTTCAGTTACATTTTATTTTTTGTTGCTTACCTTTGATTTGACCACCGTTTAAAAAAATATTAACGAAGGTGGATTAGTACGTTTTTTTCTTTATATTAAGCACAACTAGACAAAAAGATGCGAAGCTTTTCAAGTATTAAATACAAAAGCGTAACCATAGTTAGTTGAAGAGGTTTTATGGAGATTAATTTGATTTGCAAGTCGTATTTCTCACAGATTAATCCTAGTCAGGGTTCTACTGAAAACCAAGGGGACATCGGACAGTCGTTTCGTCTTTGTATAAGACTCCCTAGTAGTGACTTGCCGTGAACACACCAGGGAGACGTTCAGATAAACTAGTAGACGAGATTGTGAGCTACGACTGAATAGGATACCTGTACACTTAAACGACTGATATTAGACGGGATAGATGTAATGAGGAAGAATATTTAAATTAAGAAATAAAATCAATTATTGAGGAATTCACGAATAGCTGTTGACTTAGGATAGAATCCACGTCATATTAAAAAGTCGGAGACGGAGAATTTAACTATAAAACTACTTTTACTATCCACCTTTTTTTACTTTTGTAGCATTATGCTTTCCTTTCAATTTTTCCATCAAACATCATGTTTTCGTACACGATTTCTCTCCTAGTTATGTTGCAGATGAACGCAACTGAATGAATTCTAGTACCATCTGGTTAATTTAATGAGTATTTTAATCAATTACCACTAAATAAGGCAATACTTAAGCACACAACAGTTCACGTTTCGGACAATAGACTCAGTAATCGCTAGCAAATAACAATTAAGTGATTAGCTCTTGGATTTACCAATATATGATATATATGTACAAATCGAAAGCGTTAATCACTTAGAAGATATAGCACGGTATCCAGTCCGAGGTATAACTTTAATCTTTATCTGTAGTGTTGTTGGTGAAAGGATCAAGTAGAAAATTATTTTAAAAAATGAAAGATATTTTTCAGGTTTAATGCAACGTTATCCATCAAAAAATAAAAAACAAATCGGTGACTAAGTGGTGGACGAATGTAAAATACCAGTAATCTCGTTGGAAATAAGTGTTTCAAAAGAATAAATATAAACTGTGAAACTGTATTTTGAGAACGATATATCATTGCAAAACTTACAAAACATTTTGTATTATGTCTTGAAGTATCTTGACTCCAATAATGATTATTTCCAGTATTTTTTGATGTGAATATTAAATGAGATTCACCTAATATTTCCACTGAGTTTGTATTATCTGTTTCAGTTTCTCGTTTTCGCTAAGTTATGGCGAGAATAATAAGCAAATAAGTAAACATCAGGATATATCTCAAAGAATAAGGAGGATATGACTTTAATGGATTATTCATATAAATCAAATCGCTCCCATCCCTTGTTCGTTGCATCAACGCTTAATCCTCCTTCGGAAATGCTTTAAATGTTCTTACACCTATAAGTATATCCCATTCCACAAGTGAGATTATAGAAACTAATTGAATTTCTCTACCTGATGACACCTTACACTAACATCGTCCGTTTTAGCCTTAACAAATTTGAATGATATCTAATCGGAACAGCATATCATAAAATAACGTGATACGCGTATTATGGCGGACCTAACTGGCTGGCCGACCTATCGTAGTAATTATCACTTTTTTATCCCATACATTCTGTTTTCATTTTATTTTCTCTAGCTGTAGATAATTACACTTAGTCCGTTATGGCACTGGAAGTGACCTTAAAGATACCTTCATATATAGACAGGATGCCTACTTAAAAATAGTCAGTGGTTTCCGGCTGACGCCTTTCATTGCTGTAATATATGTGGAAAAATTTACTACCTGAATAATTTTCAAACTAGAACCTTTCAAACAATCTAATATCCTATGTCTTCTGCATGTAATATTACTACCTATGTCAAACTGATAATGTCTGTAAACTGGTATGAGTTCCATAATTATTTCCGGAATATTCATATTATTATACATAATTTGACGATAAAACTTGTTAGATGAGAAGGGTGCCAAGCCTATGAATTATTGGTGACATGTAAAGAGTCTGAGTTACAGCTTCCTATAATTGGTCAATGTATTCGATTTTACACAACTAGACTACAAATTCGAGTCCTACTTCACCTAATTCGGTTTAGGCAGTCCTTCACGAGGAGTAACAGGCGTAAGTAAGTAATGTTTGAACGTTGCCGAAATCACTTGATACCCTACTGAAACAAGTAAAGATCTACATTTATTTGAGATGTAATAGAAGTAAAAAAAAGACGGTCATTCGAAGTTACTTACAAAAGTACTTTGATACGTTAAGTGGTAGAATAAATCCTGTATCTAAAAAGATTTATCCTGAGAAAACATTTACAACTGGATCAACTACTAATATGACAAATGATATGACTGACTGATGACAAATGATAGTAACAAAAAATCAGTTGGAGTGAAAGTTTGGTGTTAAAAAAGTAGAACGAATAGGAAAGCTAACAAAAACAACGTAGAATCTGATGAAACCTCTTACTAATCCGCAATTTCATATAGCATGAACATGGAAAAAAGAACAAGGACATGAGAGGAAACAAAGACAAAAAAGCAACAACATCAACAGCAGTTAGCAGAAGAAAAAGGAAGGATTAAAAAACAAGAGACAAAAGTACTGAACAATAAAATTTGTGGAATCTTTGGGAAAAGGTAAGGTAAATTTATTTTCGCCGATACAAACAATCTTGAGCCATATCATCTTGAGTCAGTCGGTAATTTTAAAAAATGAAAAAAGCCTCAAAAACGTTTAACCGTAAATGATGGATGCGTAAAGTACAACATTGTGTGAGCAGCTGTCAAGCAAAAATCAGAAAAGAAAACGAATGAGCGGATTTACTTTAATTACATATGTTCAGCCAGTAGTGAAGATGAGTACAGCATAGTTCAACTTTAGTTTCTAGTAAATGGCGGTAGAAAATCACAACTAACCACAAAGATTTTTAAGATGCGTTTCTGAGCCTAACTTGAAACAGTGGCTTGGTGATTAAAACATTTAGTTACTGACGACTTGGTCGAAAGTTTGAATCCCACTTTCAGCTAGTTGATAGTGATCGAATTAGAGCCTGGTACAAGTGTGCGTTAGTTCAAGTTGTTTTAGCACATTATTATGATGATACAAAATTAACAAGCTGAATAATAAAGGAGTCAAGACAATGGTAGTAACAATGATAGTTAAAGGATCAGACACTGAGAATATGGTCTTTGGAATCCCGATGAAAGGTTGTATATAAAGAAACGATTGAACTCAAGATCTAGAAAAAGATAAAGAGTGAATCCATAAGTTCTATTGTAACTGGCTCTCACCAAAAACACTCGATATCTCTAGACAGTGATCACAGTTATTGGGCGGACCTACAAGCAGACAGTTTACATCTAGTGAAATGATTCAGTTTAATTGTTAATGAACTCATAGACAAATAACACATCTTGGCTCGTTTGCCTTTTTCCTACAGTACTTCGATAAGTAGAGTGGTATTACCAGTCTCCGGACTGAAAAAGACTGGGAATCGGATAGACAAGTTTTTTAGCTAGTGAATGAGTCACTTAATTTACGCGTCAGGTGAAACATTTACTTGTTTACTACACTGAAGGAATAAGAAATATCCACAAACATAAGTAAGCACGTAAATAGAAAGAGTGGAAAAGTATTCTTCTGTAAAAAAAACACTCACTTTTCGTTTGAACTGACTATTTTCGTTGAATTCATAGTCATGCGTTCTCCGCTTTATGGTTTTAGTTCCATCCATTTAAATTATTTTGCAAATAACGATAGTACATAACGAGCTGAAAATAACAAGCGATATACAATATGAAAGGAACTGATGAGAAGTATTGAAAAACCTTGTAATATTAATTACGTTGAAAGATTTTCCACTAAGTGAAGACTCCCATAACAGTACTTTGTTTAAAATATAACGATCAATAGTATTTTTATTATGATTTGATAAGAAAGCAAATGGATTTGAAGTTTCAGGACGTTTAGTAATGGGTAAAAATAGCAAAGATAAGCAGGATCGCTACTGGTTTTTATTCTGAGTCATGGCTGATAACGTCTCAAGCCACTGTGCTGCACCATCTTTAAGACGCCAACCAGGGAGTTGTGAAGAACCAACAGAAGCCAGTCATATACAGCTTTTTTTAATACCACGACATCATATCATACACCAACCACCTCTCCACTTTTTCCAACCAGTCCCACATAATGCACGACGTGGAATTCCCTGGGATGAAATTCGTAGAACATGTCAGTCAGTAACAACGTAGAACTCCGTACGTACGTACATCAGTTCGAGTTGCCACACCACCTTAACACAGAGATACAGTTGTCGATTCAAATCCCGTAGTGGTAGAGGTAGCAAGAGTGTAAGCAGTGATCGGGAAGATTAGGGTTTGGAGATGTTATTTAAAGAGTATAATTCAGTGAAATAAATTTGGAAAGAGGAAAAAGGGACATGAAGAATTCAGAAGATTAGAATTTGGGAGAACACAAAGAGTGGATGCACCTGCGCCATTGCAAACGATTTTGAGCCATGTCATTCAGGGTCTCTAACCATCGGTTGCTATCATTTCACGGTCCCCAACCAGGTAGTCTTCACCTATCAACATGACTCAGACCACTTGTCAATGACTTCATAGACTTGTGCCATGTTTTGATCTGGCCGCACCTCGCTTTCTTTCAACCTACTCCTATACCACTGAACATCACACGTCGAGGCAGTCGGTCGTTGGGTATACGTAACACGTGTCCCAGCCATCTCAACTGATGAAGTTTCATCACTTCATCAATCGATCTGCCATCCTTACCTAGTATCCGTTTCCTAACAACTACATTACTTACTTGATGGTCCCAGGATATACGAGCAATGCTTCGAAGACACCTATGATTGTATACTAGTAACCTACGGATATCCTCTACCCTTACCGGTCATGTTTCACTGCCATAAAGTAGGACGGAACGAACTACTGAGGAGTAAACACTTTCTTTGTTTGATAGACGGATATCTCGCCTACGCCATAAATGACGCAAGTTGACGAAAGCTAGTCTAGCCTTTTGTATCCGTGTTGAGATTTCGTCACACACCAGACCACAAGGGCTGATGAGACTTCCAAGATAAGTGAAGCGGTCGACACACTCAACTACTTCACTCCCTATCACTAGTTCGGGTGTCGATGTAACCCAATCCTGAAGCAACATTTTGCAATTCGAGGGAGAGAATCGCATCCCGAACATGCTTGCATTGTTGCTTAGACTGGTCAGAAGACTCTGCATTTTGTCAGCGTCTTCGCCAAATAAAACTATGTCATCAGCATATTCTAAGTCAAGAAGTGAACCTCCCGGTAGAAGTTCAACCCCTGGAAATTTAGATGAGGAGAGTGTTATCTCTAAAAGTACGTCGACCACGAAGTTGAACAAGAATGGGGAGAGTGGACAGCCCTGACGAACACCACTTGAGGTAATCAATTCTGATGACAGTTCGCCATAAGCTCTCACTCTACCAGTTGTGTTCGAGTAGAGAGCCTGAATAAGGTTAATGTACTTCTTTGGTACTCCTTTTAGTGACAAACACTGCCATAGAACCTTACGATCAACAGAGACGAATGCTGCCTTAAGGTCGAGAAATACTACCATTGTGGGGCGTCTGAATGTGTGTCTGTGTTCTAGAACCTGACGTAGTGTGAATATTTGGTCTATACAACCACGTCCAGGTCGAAAACCAGCCTGATTTTCTCTAGTCTGTTCTTCACGAGCTTTGGTTAGGCGTCGAAGTATTATTGAAGCTAATATTTTAGACACTATATTAGTCAAACTGATTCCTCTGTGATTGTCACAAGAGGACTTTTGTCCTTTCTTATAGACTGGCACAATCAGTGATTGAGACCAGTCAGATGGGATTACGTCCAGTTTCCAAATTCTCCCTAAGACCTCGGTTAATCTCATTGCTAATACTGGACCACCATCCTTAAAAATCTCAGGAGTAAACCTGTCAGGGCCTGCTGCTCTCCCTCGTTTCAGATTTCCTATGGCTTTTTCAACTTCGTTAAGAGACGGAGGACCTACATTAACTTGCCATTCAGGTTGACTGGGGATCGTGGGAAACCGAAGTGTGGCTGAAGGCCAGTTGAACTGATCCCTGAAGTGTTCTGCCCATCGATCCAATCTCCTGGATTGGGAATGAATAATATGTCCATCTCTCTCTGAGATTGTTTCGCTAACGGTCGGGTTCCTAATTCCGGTTTCCTTAACGAGTCTGAACAATTGTCTGCTATTACCTATTGCCGCTGCCTTCTCGATCTCTCTTGCTTTCGCTACCCACCACTGTTCACGATCATTGCGTAGACTTCTTGTCAGCTTGCGCTTAAGCTGACTCCGCTCTTGATTATGTTCAGAGCCAGATGGAATGAGTTTCCGAGCATCTATCAGTGCGATAGATGCTGCTGAGATCCAGTGTTGCTCTCTAACCTTCTGGTTTACCTTACTAGCAGATATCATTGCTGTTTCCACAGCTTTTCGGATATCATTCCATGCTGCCTCGGGGTGGGCATCACATACATGGCTGCCTAACTGTTTTCCTAGTTGTTCCTGAAATATACTCTTAGCTTGACTATCATTAAGTAGGCCCATAAGAGGTTTCCTTGCAGCGTCTTTCCTACGTCCAGTAAGACGCAAGCAAATACGCGCTCGCACTAGAGCATGATCTGAATCTAAGCATGTGCTCCAGAATGAGCGACAGTCTTCTATCGGGCTTCTCCATCGGTGGCTGATGGCAATGTGATCTATTTGGGTCCGACGTTGGGACGAATTAGAGGGTCGCCATGTTAAAAGATGTTTTTCCTTATGCTTAAAGTTAGTATTTGCAAGGAACAGGCGATTATCTGAGCATAGCTGCAACAGACGGTCGCCATTATCTGTTCTTTGAGCCACGACACCATCAGATCCACCTAGGTGTCTTTCCCTATCGCTTAGTTTACCTACTTGAGCATTAAAGTCACCGGCCACTATTACTACATCCGAGCGCCTAGCTTTTCGGAGAAGGTCGGAAAGCTTTCTGTAAAACTCATCTTTTACATCATCTGAGCTGCAGTCAGTGGGAGAATAGGCAGAAACGACGAAGAGGCAACGACGGGTGTCCCTATCTTTCCGGATTCTTACTGTTCCGTTCAGTCGGACAGCGCACAAACGGCTGTCTACTGGGATCCACTCTAAGAGAGCTAATTCTGTTCTGGGACTCAATGCTATACCTACGCCGGCGAGTCCACGGGAAGCAGAATCAGGGCTTCCAGATACACGAAGCGTAAATCGAGTCGGTTCTTTATTTTGGCATGGTGAAGTCAAATGAATGACGCTACTCGGATCTTGTATGCGCGTTTCGGAGACGCAGCACACGTCGATGACGCGAGATTCTAAAGTCCTAGCTAAGGAAGTCTGCTGTCCTATTTGGCACAGTGTTCGGACGTTAAAAGCTCCTACGTGTAGTTTAGAGCGTGGTTTCAGGAGACCAGGAATATAGTTCCACGTACTCGAATCGTTTGCCCTAGCGGTGCGAGGTGATACAGAGACATGAGGAGGGTTAGTCATGGAGATAAGAGAGGTATTAGAAGGTGTAGGAAGGATTTGAATGTGACCAACTTGGTCTCGTGTGCTGTTACGGGTATGAGGGCTGGTGTCACTTCCCGGCTGCCCACACCGTGGAAGGGTATTTCTTGAGGAACCTGAAAAAGAAATTGGATTAGTGTTGGTCTTGACGACCTGGGAGCGTGACCGCAGAGCCCAAGGGACGACTGCTTGAGGCCGGTCGCGCACGGCCTTTTTGTGGAAGGATTTTGACGTGTTAGCTCCGTTCTTCATAGGGCCTTACCGCCGGAGACGGAAATCCGTGAGGTAAGGTGAGGTGTGACATTTTTAGGGTCGACCTTTTCTAACCCCACCCCTCCTTGTGGGAAGGCAGCATCGCTGTCATGCTGGTTGTCTGAGGGAAACACCTTACTGCTGTCACACCTCTCTACAGTCAGCAGTACGACTTCGCCCTCGGACCTTGAATTGCTGCTTTTAGTCTTACCGTTCACCAATCGACCTGCCTCGCATGGTAGAACCTACAGGAACATATGTTCCAGCCAATATAGCTCGTTTGGGTCATCACGATAGGCAAGTCCGACCACCGCGTCAAGGTAGCAGCTTCGGTCGGGATTAGATTTTGAACTATTAATGAGGTTAACATTTTATACACTATATTAGTTGAACTGATTCCTCTGTGATTGTCACCCTAACTGATATTATTTCAATGAAATGAATTAAAATACAAAAAGATTTGAGCAGTAATTTACGCAAAAAACTTAATGGAATGATTCAAATAACTAATATAAATAAAGTAAAAAACATTAGTTTAGAAAAAACTCAACAACTACTAAAAATAATGGGACTAATAACTTCATGATCAGAGCATTTGGATTTTCAACTACCGGATTACAGGTCCAAACCCTATTCAGTTTACTTCAAGTGGTATTACCAACTTCTACATTAAGTGTGGTTTATGGCTAGATGTACACGAACACTGACCTAGTGGTAACTGAGCTGCAAGAAAATTGAAATATTAACTAAAAATATCCAGAGATTTTCGTCCAAAATCAATAATTACCTTTAAAGTAATGTTTATAAGCAAACAATACAGTTAATTGTGTATCACGAGTGTCTAACCCAATATCCCATAAGTGTTGCATATTCCATTCTCTCGGATAGTACATTTTTAGATCGAGGTTTACGTATTGATCGTTAGTTAATATATTACGCCATAAATGCTCAAGGATCAGACTGGACTTAATTAGGTTGACTTTCAGAGTAGTTACAAAACCATTCTGGTTGACTAACCATGGTATACTCAGTTTTATAATTGAATTCGGAGATCCTGACAGTCTCATAGATTCAACAACATGTCCAAGTCACCGAAGTCGATGTCTCAATATAGTGACACTAGTTGACCGGGAACACAATGCTGAATCTCTGGGTTTCGAACATGGTGTTGCTACTGAATGTCAGTAATCCTTAGGAGACAATGATGATCAAACACAGAGAGGTCAGGTTTCACAAGCATAGAGCAAAACTGCTCTCACCGACGCGTCGTAGATCCGGCCATTTACAGTCAGACCAACATCATGAAAGTGCCAAGGATGGCGCAGATTGACATAAGCTGCTCTGACTTTCACAATACGTGCATTGATCTCATCACTCGTGCCCCCACCAGCACTTATGCAGCTAACTAGATACACGAACTTCTCGACTACTTCTATCTGCCCACCATCCAGGATGAGTACAGGATTAGAATCCTGCCAGTTTTGTAAAAGTACTTTGCACTTGGAAGGTGCAAAGCACATGCCATACCTACGGATATTGATTGCCAACTCATTAAGTGCGGATCGCATGGCTTGGGTATCATCGCACAGTAAGACAATGCCCTCACTCTGCTTGAGGTATTTGTATATAGGGCTCTTAGGATGTTAATAAAATCCTTAGGTATATTCTTCTTCAATAGACAATCCTAGAAAACAAATTAAAGGCTACCCTGGTGTCAAGAAACACTACGATTGTTGACCTACGGAATACCTCTGCCATGCTTTACAGACCAAATTCATGATGGAAACTTCGTCTCTCGCGTGCTCTAGCTGGCTTTGTAACGTTACAAACCACAACTTCTACAAATGGGGTAACGAGGTTCAGTTAACCCAACGGTACATTCAGGATTATGAGTCATCTGAATCTGTAGACTTTCCAGGTCTCAGAAGTCAAAGTAGCTGTAGGACAACTTTTTCAATGATCAATAGTTCTTTAGCCAAGTGGTGTTTCTTTAAGTTATCTGCTGCACTATTATGTATCTCTATATATATGTGACTGTAATAATATGGGAAGCATTGCTAGTATCTTTATAGGCTCTTTGGGGTAATTTTTTCACAATCGAGTGGTAAGAAGAACCTTCAAAATTTCCCTATATTAAATGGAAATGTCTTTTGAGGTCATGTTAATTCTCAAATTAACTGCTTCTCAAGGTATGAACCGGGCGCAAAAAAATAAAAACCTGTAAAAGATGGTTAACTGTTAAGTATGACCTTTGGTTCCCTACTATAACCGCCTTACATTAACGGATTACGATGCAATTCAGATCACCATTACTCATATGTTCGGGATGCGCAAACGCTTTGACGGTGTCACGTAGTAATACTTCTAGGCTAGAGCTTCAAACGAGTTTTTAAAAACTAGCTAAATGGTTAAAAGTTAAAGCCTATGTTCAAACTCCACGAAAAGTGCACTAATAAAGCATTGCCTTAGTAAAGGCTAAAGCAACACCACTGATGAAATACCACTGACACGAGATCTGTAGCAAAACACTCTGGCACTAACACGTTTCACTATGTTGTATTCTTCAAGATTTGCTATATCCGGAACCGTCATATAAGAATCCAAAGACCACGATTGAATAAACTCAGTTTGGGTCCCCGCCCCTCCTGTCTGGCGGTAAACAATTGGAACGACCTGGAAAATGGTGTACGCTCTCAGGAAGAAACGGAATATTTACGAAAAAATACTGCATGTATTATGACAGATTAACCAGCACACGATGCTTATTACTGACTATAGGCTGGAAAATCTGCAGTTTCATAGGGAAATTTCATAACATGTGTACCTTAATAACTAAGGCGATACAGATGATACTGCATGTTTATCCCTTATAAATTAGGCAAAACATCAACTGCACGAGGAATGCAATCATATAAGATTATAATTTCGTTGGTTCCTCCTAATATCAAATAAAGTGTAGCATTGAAGAAATCTGAATCAATCAGCTAAACTGGTGGTCAACAAGTTTCGATATTAGGTAACACGCTGTGACTTAATTTTATGAAAAGCCAGACGGAAATACCTTGTTAAGAAAATGCACTAATACTCAGTAACGCAACATCCAAATATAGCGCTTAACGGTATGAATTCAGATCATAATCGCATTTTGAGGACAGAGGGCATACGGTCTATGTTAGCCCTTTTCTGGAAAGCTTCTGAAAGTTTCTAGTCTTTTCTTGAGTGAGTCACCTGTATGGACGGACACCACTTATTCGGGTAATGGTCCCAGTATTTGAACACTCGGTGTGAAAACTTATACATCATTGGTACTTTGTTCGCATTTGGTTTCTATATTCTCTCAGTTGTTCCGAATTGTAATGAAGAAAAAAAGGATAGTTGAGGTTCAAGATCACTTCTTAAAATTTCATATATGAAAACCAGATCGCTTCTTATTCTGTGCTAGAGCATAGAATAAAGCATAGAACATTTAAATCCGTCTGAAGTGAACGTTCATCCACGACGCCTGTTATTTCTTGCCAAATTTTTACATCATCGGAGTAAAATAGCATCAGGGACCCAACTACATTTGGGAGTTCATTTATATACAGTATAATGAGTGAAGGACCTAGAACAGGTCTCGTTAGTTTATTGAGGAGAAAAAACTATCGGCGTTTTGTAAAGATATACTATATGAATTAACCATCTAAATCTGGAAACCCTAAGACTTCAGTCCAATTTGTATTCATATTTAGAAACCTGTGGCGACCATTAATTCGTCTGAATAAAAGCCTAAAAGCAACTGAAGTAGATTTTGACCAATTTAGTTCAAATGGATAAATTGCTAACGGATGTCGCTGCATCTTATATCCCCGCTACATCACGTTATGAAGATCTTTGACTGACTTTGATTGATTTCAAGTTTTAAATGCGATACGATCGTTTGTTCTCACCTACTTCAATTTGGCTTAAATTGCAGTTTCGGGAGTTCTTAGTTTATACAGCATTTCGATTACTTCTAATTATCATAGTTCTATTTTCACTGCATTTTGTCCGTAAATTTGAATTTTGAAGACAAAAGAGTTTAGGAATCAAAAATGCATGTCAAGGGCCAATGAATGTTAAAAAATAGAATTGTTCGAACCCTGGGCTACTACATTTGGTATCCTGAGGCTGTCTGGTAATGTAGAGCAAATTTCATCATCAGTCTTCACTCACGGCATCCTTATAGGTACTTAATTAGACAGTCAATAACTCTTAGGGTCTTCACTTCTAATTATACTATTCTATTGTGGTGAACGAGAACTAAGGTGGGGAACACTAATTTATTGATAAGTGCAAAACTACAGAGTGCCTTCATAAGACATGAAAACCGTATTTTAAACACATTACTCGCATATCTTTATTCGGTTCGGTCCTTGGAATACTTCATGATTCTCCCATTTCTGTTGTTATTACAACTACCTTGTCCTTCTAACTCAGACTTCTCAACATTCTACTGGCAGGCATTCTACATCCACCTTTTAATAAATACTACTTACATCTGTCTGTATCGGTAGTACGTTGCACACTATGGTTGATTATTTAAAATATTTCCAGGATTTTAGAAGATTCACGTTATTCAACTTTTGGTAAATATGTTGTTTATGACATTACTGGTCATATTTACCTTGATAAGTCAGATGAAAGCTGAGTGTTGAGGTAACTTTTGGCCTCAGATGGTTTTAGGTGGAAACAACGAATTGAATAGTACCTGGTGTCTGCGTCAGAGTAGCCGGTAGTAGTTCCTTAACACTGAAATACACAGGTACATAAATCAACAGAATGATTTATTAAGATTGATCAGGATGCGAAACTTTGACACATTTCTTCTGTCTACTTATTGTGGCTGTAGACATGCTGTAATGAACTCAGTCACAGTATCTGTGCGAAACAAGGAACTGGGTAGAATAAATGCTGATTAAGTAAAATCATAAAATGTTTATGCAATACGTACACCCGGTCTTCAGTCATTTATTTATATCCAGTAAAGTGTGTTACAAATCATCCTGGTTCCTGTTGCTTTTCTACAGGACTGAAGTTTATTTGACCTTCAAGATCTTTTCTCTTCAGTCGTCAACCGTAGAAACTTCCACAAGTCATTCCGCTACACGCGTCTTGTAAGCAATCCTATGAGTGAAGTTCTTTGCACCTAGATGCATGAAATGGTAATCCACATTAACCGCGAAGTAACTCTGACCTAAGCTAAAAAGTAAATTTAGTGACCCTGTATCTGACTCAAGTTGGACAGTGTGCTGATTGTCATCAAAATATACAAGTCCTCTATCCTTGATTCTTTTATCGACTTGAATAAAGTTAGTGAATTACGGATTCAGATATCTTTTGGATAGGTATATTTCATACAATTTTTATATCGGAACAAACAATCAGAGTGCTAGGGTTGAAGCTATCACGAGTTCACGAGAACAAAGACTTGGTGACAAAAGACCAGTCAGCGAGCTATTGATGCGTCCCAGCCCCGCTAACTAGAGGGAGAAGTCCAAACTTGGAATGGGGAAGTATATTCTGTAAACAGCCAGGAACGAGCGATAACAACAAACACCATTCAAAAAGTATATATATAGTACAGAACCGTCCCTGGGGCGTTACCAAATAGCATACTAAAAAAACGCAACGGACTCATAGCATCTAAGATATTTCCGAGTGGGAGATACGACATGAAGGTGACAAGAGCGCTTTTATCGCGAAAACAAAGACATTCAAATTTTCTGAATAAAATTACTAACTTGGGTCCTATTCCAAGTGAGTTCTGAGGATCTGACCTCTCCAACACAGAGACACCCAGAGGAAGAAGCTAAACGAATCTGAGAAAACATGTAAATGAACTCAATTCAGTCTAAAGTTACTCAGTATTTATATCCAGACCGAAAAGAAGTTACAGATATATAATTAATGGGATAAGTAGTTAACACATATACGATCATATAAAAACAGTCAAACTTAGTAAACCAATAAGTGACAAGGTTAAAATATGGCCTCAGAAAAATGAATAGAATAATCTGTTCAGAAACTAGGATTGTCTATGTGTTTAGCGGTGTGTTTGTGAGTGATAACCAATTGGTCATGCTATATGTTCACAAAACCGGAACGAAATGTCAAATGCCACTTTTTTAATACAGGGATTTTACAGGCAATCGTGGCAATTGTAAAAGTTATAAGAATTGATGGAAAATGTGGATACTAAAAAACCCTAACTATACAGTAGGTCTATTTTAGCTATCCCCCTACATCGTCGTTCCCCCCAGACTCGAATAAACCGTGATCATTGAAGAACCAAATTTATTTGATTTCACAGGAGACAAGCTTTAACCAGTTCAGATAGAAGCTCTTAATTTGAAACTTTTGGATTAAAAATGTCGAACTAGGGATCGGTGCTCAATTTTACTTATCCGCTAAAAAATCTACACTGTAATGGATCATTAACTTATTTTGTTAAAAATGCTTCACCCAATAGGACGTTCATTTAAAATGTAACACTAATATGCTCATACATAAATTCGTGCAAACGTTTTCGTAACTGAAATCAGCAAAATGTATGACTTGTCACAGGATGCTACAGTGATAGCGAATTCCAGTTAACTTTTGTGAAGAATGTCCAGTGTTTACTATAGCTTCTTAGAAACTGAAGTGTATTACTTAATGTGCCACTCCTTCACTCTTATTCTGATTTGTTTTTTCCTTTCATTTTCCTAAAGAGATGTGACATCCATCATACCTCTCTGAAACCATGAACTCTCTTTTATTACCGAAACACTGATATCCGTAGTATCTTACCAGATAACTCTGGAGGAGTTTAGGTCAAAATATTGGTAGGAATGAGTAATAGGACCGACGACAGTGTTGAACCCCGACCATGTAGATACCTCAAGATAATCCTAGGGTCGGAGGAGCAACTTGATCTTTTGTTGAGTAGCGCTCGCAGTCACGACAATACCGACATTTGAGTAAGACCTGATATACCTCTTGAAAGTAGAATGAAAGGGAAGACAGCACTAGCTGGACTAGAAACCCTTCGGCAAAACAATGAGGAAAACTCCAATTAATGGGTTTTCAAATGGTCAGCTCATGGAAGCGAATGGTGCCAATCTCTGTGTGGTTAAGCCTTTCCTCTTAGGAGTTTTATATACCAACGCTCGTAGTCAAAGAAATAAATTCCATGAACTAGGAGCATCGGTGTACGAATTGAGGCCACTCATTGTAGCTGTGACGTAAACCTGGTTAGTTCATAACTCTAGAATTATCCGGATAACACTACGTAAGAAGTGATAGACAGATGAAGGAAAGGAGGTGGCGTCCTTTTATTCATAGCCAATATTATAAATGTCCGCTCCTCTAATTACGAATCCCATGATAGTGCAACGTGTGAAGTTAATAGCTGTGAGCTCACTATCGGATGTTGTACATTTATACTCTATGTCTATCTAAGTACAATCTGCTTAGGTAATGACTTTATATCAGAGCATATTCAGCTATGGAGTGCAAGTATCAAATGCTTGATACTAGGAGACTTTAATGTACCTGATATCAGTTGAACTAAGATGACCACAGAAGGATCTATAAACTCATTTGATAGTAGGTTCTTGATAACAGTAATGGAGCATGCATTAGTACAGCATGTATCCAAATCCACACGTTTCGGTGTAAACCAAGGTTCGTGTTTGTTACACTTAGTAATCACTCATGAGACTGAGGATATTGCCAACCAAAATATTCTTTTACCGTTAGTGAATAGCGAACACGCTGTTTTGTCATTCACATTTAGAGCTAGCAACCTGATATACGATCAGGTCAAGCCTCTCCCAAAATGTATGGAGAGTCAGCATATCGCTAAGACAGATTGGGCAGTAGATACTGACTCATCAGTTGAAGAAGCATGGTCTATATTTAAAAGCAAGTTTAGTTCAGTTACGTGCTCGTCCATACCATACATGGCGCCACGTACACCGAATAACACTCCACCATGGATAACTAAACAAGTCAAAAAACTTCTTAGGCATAGAAAAAAGCACTGGCATATGTTCATTTCTACTGGCTTAGGACAGTACAGATCCAGTTATTGTAAGATTAGGAATACTT